AGGGGGACCTTGCGTGCGCTGCAGGATTTTAATCCATGACGGTGTAGTGTGTTACTAATGGTTTTCTTTGAGACTGTGGTCCCAGCTCTCTTCAGGTCATTGACCAGGTCCTGCCGTGTAGTTCTGGGCTGATCCCTCACCTTCCTCATGATCATTGATGCCCAACGAGGTGAGATCTTGCATGGAGCCCCAGACTGAGGGTGATTGACCGTCATCTTGAACTTCTTCCATTTTCTAATAATTGCGCCAACAGTTGTTGCATTCTCACCAAGCTGCTTGCCTATTGTCCTGTAGCCCATCCCAGCCTTGTGCAGGTCTACAATTTTATCCCTGATGTCCTTACACAGGTCTCTGGTTTTGGCCATTGTGGAGAGGTTGGAGTCTGTTTGATTGAGTGTGTGGACAGGTGTCTTTTATACAGGTAACGAGTTCAAACAGGTGCAGTTAATACAGGTAATGAGTGGAGAACAGGAGGGCTTCTTAAAGAAAAACTAACAGGTCTGTGAGAGCTGGAATTCTTACTGGTTGGTAGGTGATCAAATACTTATGTCATGCAATAAAATGCAAATTAATTACTTAAAAATCATACAATGTGATTTTCTGGATTTTTGTTTTAGATTCCGTCTCTCACAGTTGAAGTGTACCTATTACAGACCTCTACATGCTTTGTACAGTGGGGGAAAAAAGTATTTAGTCAGTCACCAATTGTGCAAGTTCTCCCACTTAAAAAGATGAGAGGCCTGTAATTTTCATCATAGGTACACGTCAACTATGACAGACAAATTGAGGAAAAAAAATCCAGGAAATCACATTGTAGGATTTTGTATGAATTTATTCGCAAATTATGGTGGAAAATAAGTATTTGGTCACCTACAAACAAGCAAGATTTCTGGCTCTCACAGACCTGTAACTTCTTCTTTAAGAGGCTCCTCTGTCCTCCACTCGTTACCTGTATTAATGGCACCTGTTTGAACTTGTTATCAGTATAAAAGACACCTGTCCACAACCTCAAACAGTCACACTCCAAACTCCACTATGGCCAAGACCAAAGAGCTGTCAAAGGACACCAGAAACAAAATTGTAGACCTGCACCAGGCTGGGAAGACTGAATCTGCAATAGGTAAGCAGCTTGGGTTGAAGAAATCAACTGTGGAAGCAATTATTAGGAAATGGAAGACATACAAGACCACTGATAATCTCCCTCGATCTGGGCTCCACGCAAGATCTCACCCTGTGGGGTCAAAATTATCACAAGAACGGTGAGCAAAAATCCCAGAACCACACGGGGGGACCTAGTGAATGACCTGCAGAGAGCTGGGACCAAAGTAACAAAGCCTACCATCAGTAACACACTACGCCGCCAGGGACTCAAATCCTGCAGTACAAGACGTGTCCCCCTGCTTAAGCCAGTACATGTCCAGGCCCATCTGAGGTTTGCTAGAGTGCATTTGGATGATCCAGAAGAGGATTGGGAGAATGTCATATGGTCAGATGAAACCAAAATAGAACTTTTTGGTAAAAACTCAACTCGTCGTGTTTGGAGGACAAAGAATGCTGAGTTGCATCCAAAGAACACCATACCTACTGTGAAGCATGGGGGTGGAAACATCATGCTTTGGGGCTGTTTTTTCTGCAAAGGGACCAGGACGACTGATCCGTGTAAAGGAAAGAATGAATGGGGCCATGTATCGTGAGATTTTGAGTGAAAACCTCCTTCCATCAGCAAGGGCATTGAAGATGAAACGTGGCTGGGTCTTTCAGCATGGCAATGATCCCAAACACACCACCCGGGCAACGAAGGAGTGGCTTCGTAAGAAGCATTTCAAGGTCCTGGAGTGGCCTAGCCAGTCTCCAGATCTCAACCCCATATAAAATCTTTGGAGGGAGTTGAAAGTCCGTGTTGCCCAGCGACAGCCCCAAAACATCACTGCTCTAGAGGAGATCTGCATGGAGGAATGGGCCAAAATACCAGCAACAGTGTGTGAAAACCTTGTGAAGACTTACAGAAAACGTTTGACCTGTGTCATTGCCAACAAAGGGTATATAACAAAGTATTGAGAAACTTTTGTTATTGACCAAATACTTATTTTCCACCATAATTTGCAAATAAATTCATAAAAAATCCTACAATGTGATTTTCGGGATATTTTTTTCTCATTTTGTCTGTCATAGTTGACGTGTACCTATGATGAAAATTACAGGCCTCTCTCATCTTTTTAAGTGGGAGAACTTGCACAATTGGTGGCTGACTAAATACTTTTTTTCCCCACTGTAAGTAGGAAAACCTGCAAAATCGGCAGTGTATCAAATACTTCTTCTCCCCACTGTATGCACACTCAAGTTTTCAGTTTTTTTGTCTTATTTCTTGTTTGTTTTTTCACAATAAAAACTATTTAGCATCTTCAAAGGGGTAGGCATGTTGTATAAATCAAATGATACAAACCCCCAAAAAATCAATTTTAATTCCAGGTTGTAAGGCAACAAAATAGGAAAATTGCCAAGGGAGTGAGTACTTTCACAAGCCACTGTACCTCTCTCACCTCCCCTCTCCATGTCACTGTTGTTAGGACATCCCATGTGATGACTTTTTCTCTCACTCTCTCACTCACTCACTCACCCCTCACTCACTTACTCACTCTCTCCTACACTCTCCTCTCGCTCTCTCTCCTACTCTCTCTCTCTCCTACTCTCTCTCTCTCGCTCTCTCTCCTACTCTCTCTCTCTTCGCTCCCCTCTCCTACTCTCGCTCTCTCTCTCCTACTCCCTCTCTACTCTCTCTCTCTCCTCTCTCTCCTACTCTCTCTCGCTCTCTCTCCTACTCGCTCTCTCTCCTACTCTCGCTCTCTCTCCTACTCTCGCTCTCTCTCTCCTACTCTCGCTCTCTCTCTCTCTCTCTCTCCTACTCTCTCTCTTACATGTGGAACGGCACAGCAGTAAACCCTTCTCATGGTGTAGTATCAATAGGGGAATAAAGAGAAGGAGAGGTTAGAAGAGAGGAGACTGTGTCTGAGAGGTGTCTTTCTGTCTACAGGCCCCAGGGTGACAATAGCCTCAGTGTGCTGCCTGGCTGCTCCAGGGGGAAATAGAATGCACATGCTCCAGGCCAGCACGTGGTGCTCCATCCCTCCCTCCCTGACTCAATTCAATTTTCAATTTCAATTTAAGGGGCTTTGTTGGCATGGGAAACATATGTTTACATTGCCAAAGCAAGTGGAATAGATAATAAACAAAAGTGAAAAGATTTAAACAGTAAACATTACACTCAAAAGTTCCAAAAGAATAAAGACATTTCAAAGTCATATGTCTATATACAGTGTTGTAATGATGTGCAAATAGTTAAAGTACAAAATGGAAAATAAATCAACGTAAATATAGGTTGTATTTACAATGGTGTTTGTTCTTCACTGGTTGCCCTTTTCTTGTGGCAACAGGTCATAAATCTTGCTGTTGTGATGGCACTGTGGTATTTCACCCAACAGAAATGGGAGTTTTATCAAAATTGGATTTGTTTTCTAATTCTTTGTGGGTCTGTGTAATCTGGTCAGGTATTCTGCCACTGTGTACTCTCTGTTTAGGGCCAAATAGCATTCTAGTTTGCTCTGTTTTTGTGTAAATTCTTTCCAATGTGTCAAGTAATTATCTTTTTGTTTTCTCATGATTTGGTTTGGTCTAATTGTGCTGCTGTCTGCAACAGTTAAATTAGCGCCGCTCATCTTAACAAATGACACAAGCCCCTGAGATGGGAGAGGGAGTGAAAAGGAGGGGAAAGGAAAAAGATGTAAAGGGAGAGAGAGCCCTTTGAATTGAATAGAATTGAAAGAGAGACAGGATTCAGTGTCAAAGGGGGGAGGAGGAGGAGGAGGAGGAGGAGGGGAGACTCCCTCTCTCCCTCCCTAAAATATGGGCCATTTTTTCTGGAGCAAGGGAACTGTAGACTAGTCTGTTGAGCTGTGAGAAATGACCCTGTGCTGCTGTAGGCCTGTGAAAAGCTGCTTGCATCTGCTGCTGCTCTGTCAGTAGGCCGAACACAGTTACAACACAATAACAACACAGAGGAACTGGGGTCTGACTGTGTCTCAGCAGCATACTAACAGGGCCGGATTGGATCAGTAGGCTACAATAAGCTACAGCAGAAAATCAGTCCTGGCATTTCTAGATCAAAACCCCAACGGTCAACCTGGACCTGTGTAAAGGCACGTAAACAAAATGGATACACATGCTTAATTAATTGGTATTATGTAGTTGGCTAATCAGCACTGGTACATTGATCCATTGATCACTTGACTACATGTCTGCATAGCCAATGGCTTAGAGATGTGTTCAGGCCATACTCAGTTGCTACATAATGGATTGCTAAAGCACAAGAACAGAACACATATGAAAAGTCTCAACTGGTGAAATATTGCTGTCTTTGAGAGGCAAGACATGGCATGTTGTGCCGGGACATGACGTCCATGCTGCAGCAGCAATAGGAAATAGACTCTCTACCTCAGCCTCTCTCTGCCAGCAGCGCTGTGAGATTCTGTTCTGTGTTTATTTGACAGAGCCTAGGCAGCAGGGATATGTCCCCGTGTTCGGGGGGGGGGGGGGGGGCTGTTGATGATAACATGATGGCTCAAAGTCACACTCCTGGCGTTAGTGACTCCTCTCCTCACACTCCCCTCTCAATCTTCCTCTTTCTATCTCTCTCACTCTCCTCCCTCTCCTCCCCCCCCCCCCCCCCCCCTCTCTCTAATCACCCCCATCTTCTCCCCTCAGTGTCAGACCCTGCAGCGCTGATTTTCCTGTTTTTTATCGATTGTTTTGTTTGTTTTCAGGGTTTATTTCGCACAGAGACATGCATTATTCATTTTATGGTATTGATTTTTGTTTTTATAGTCATGGATTTTATTAGCTTATTTTTTTCTCCTCTATGTCCAGAGGTTCCAAGTAAATCTCAATAAATTCTCCTTATTCTTCCTCTGTGTGTGTGTCTGTGTGTGTGTGTGTGTGTGTGCAGTATTCAGCGGGCAGCGTTGGCCATCATAGAGAACTACTACAGGGACTTCTCTGTCCACAACCCGGCCCTGCTCACTGCCTCTAAGTCCCGTGCCGCCAAGCACCTGGCCGGCCTCAAGGTCTATAATGTGGATGGTGAGTTCCCAGCAACCGCCGCCACTGGTGAGTGCATGGAGACTCCCTTGGGATTATCTATACATTTCTTCTATATCTGTTTCATCTCTCTTATCTGTCCTTTGGGCTTGATGTTCGACTCTCTCCTCTCCTTGGTTGCTCTCTAACACCCAGAGGTCTTTAAAGCTAAACTGAAAGCGTACCTTTTGGACAGTAAGTATAGTAGTCCTCTCACTAAAACCCTGCATCTCTGACCACTGTCTGGACTCACCGACTAACCCGCCTTTCTTCCACTGGAGCTGCAGTCCCAACCAATCCCCTTACACTCCACTGTAATCGGCATGCCTCATTGGTTTAGAGACACAGCTGTGAAATGATTTAACGCACTTGTGTAGGCCACGCCCAAAGCATGTGATGTCACTGTCGACGTTGACCTAGTGACTATTTATCGCCTGCTTGTATTTACTAGTGTGTTCTACATTTTCACTTTTTGCTCAACATTTGCTTTGACTGTTTCTGATATGGAATAATAATTAGTTGAATTTGTCAAATCAGCTCTGGGCAAGAGCGAAATCTCACAGGATATCTGGAGAGGGGGAAATTAAATAAATGCATTTGTTTGAACATGTTTTGTTTTGAAGTGAAGAGGCATCATGACTACTTCATGAGTACTCACAAGCAATCTCATTATTTGTATCTTCTCTGTGCTCCCCATAAGTGTACCGCCTCTCCACCTCCCTCTTTCTCCCCCCCTCGCTCTCTGCCTCTCTCGCTCTCTGCCTCTCTCTCTCTGCCTCTCTCTCTCTCTCTCTCTGCCTCTCTCTCGCTCTCTGCCTCTCTCTCGCTCTCTCTCTCGCTCTCTGCCTCTCTCGCTCTCTGCCTCTTGCTCTCTTCCTTCCTCTATTCTTTCTCTGTCTCCCTCCTCCTCCTCCTCCTCCTCCTCTCTCTCCACCCTCCAGTAGTGCTCAGAGATGAGACAGCCAGCAGTGTTAAATCAATAGCTATACTGCCCACTCTGTCGCTCTCCTCTCATTCTCCTCATAGAGGAGCTGGTCTCTGGGGAGTCCCCCTCTCTGTCATCACAGTAACTGCAGCAGGGACAGTGACATGGGGAAGTCTGGGAGAGAGACTATCCTCCCTCCATTATCCATGACTAAGACACATCACCTAACCACTAAGCATGGTAGAGGCTGTTAGAACACACACTACAGATGAGGCAGCAGGAGACATGGCTTTGCTGAAATGAATCATGATACTCATAGACAGTCTCCCTTAATTCCCAATGTTTAGCTTTTCAGTACTATATTTTATACGGAAATACACATGTATTCGCCCACAGGGCTCTCGCCTTTACATCAAGCAAACTGTGTTCTTTTGATCACCAGTTAATTCTTCTTCATGATATTAACCCCCATCATTACTACTTCAAAAGAAAAAACATCTCTCTTTTGGGTTGGTACGTTTACAGGTTCATGACCTGACTGGCAGTGCAAACATGGCTGCCGTTTCTCAGACTGGAGAAATAGGGCATGGATATATAATATAATGATCCCGTCCCGAACCCCCAGCCTCCCCTACATTAATACTGCAGCAGCTCCAGCCGTCTCTTAGCCTCTATTAACATGAGCTGCCGCTCTCTTGCATATTAAAGCTCTCATAATGACATGCGCCTGACGCTCAACTTTTGAAGTTGGCCCGGGATGTTTATTAAGACAGACACTCAGCACCGCCCAAAGACACAGAGAGGCAGAGAACCCGGAATAACTGAATGTGAAACAGTGGGCGAGGAAGTTTGAACTTGGAACATGCATTTCTAACTATGCAGATTTTTTGATGATTACAGTGTTCCGTCCTTTATAATTTGGGTTTTACTACTATTCAAAGACACAAATAAGTGTGTGTTCAGTTGTCACATTGTTTTTTCAAGTGTCTATATATGTCTGTTTTACGCTAAGTATAGGGCATGTTTTTTAGCGTGGTGATATCATGACACTCTGACTTTGCAATATTCTGCATCAGGGAAAATAATGAACACCTATATTAACTTAACATCCCTCTGTTGTCTGCCTCCCTAGGCCCTGGGAACAACGCAGCGACCGGATTGGCCCACTCCCAGTCTCGGGCTATGATCGCCGCTGCCGCCCGCCGCCGAGACACCAGTCACAACGAGCTGTACTACGAGGAGGCGGAGCACGAGAGACGCGTCCGCAAACGCAAGGCCCGGTGAGAGACAGGTCTGGGGGTTTTCGGCTGTTTGATAAAGGAATGGAAGGACATATGGGGATTGTTCTTGTACATCTGTGGTAAAGGAGCCGTTTGGACATGCCAAGCAAACAGATCATAAAGTATGTCTCATCTCTTTGGTTTTGATATTATATTACGTTTACATTTGAGTCACTAAGCAGACGCTCTTATCCAGAGCATCTTCTAAATAGTGCATTGCAGCGTCAGGTGTTGTGCAGAGCATGCCGTGCTCCGATTGCTACTTCACGGGGGTAACACTACAAACCTGTTTCAGCACTTAAAAAAATACCACAAATCAATGCATGACAGTTGTATGACCAAAATGCCGAGCATCAGTGCGCGAGACAAGCCAAATACCTCAAGACAGGGATCACTGACAGAAATGTTCGAAAGTGTCACTCCGTATGAACGTAATTCAAAACGGCACGGAGAAATCACTCGGACAATAACCGAGTTCATAGCCAAAGATATGATGCCTCTCAGTCGCAGAGGCAGAGATAAACAATTACCTGATGACTCCTACCATTGATGGAGAAGATGATCCATTGGCTTGGTGGAGGGTGCACAAGATCAGCTACCCACAGTTGTGCACCATGGCACGCAAGTATCTTTGTGTACCTGCTACAAGCGCTCCCTCAGAGCGTCTTTTTAGCACAGGAGGGAATATTGTGACTTGCACTCGCTCATCCTTGAAGCCAGAAAAAGTCAATATTCTGGTTTTCTTAGCAAAAAACCTGTGAGCCACTGAGAACAGAACTGTTGGATAAGTATGGCTGGCAGTGCCATACTCGTAGTGAACTTTAGTCTGTGTGGTGTGTTATTGTTGTGTACTTGAGATAAGTGAGGCTCATCTATTTTATATTATAATATTCAAATCGTTTATAAAAAATAGTTTGTCTAAATTAAAAGTGCATTTCTCATTTTTTATTTATAACTTTATTTACTTTGATTTTACAAAATATTTTCAAAGCAAATTCCTTGTTTCAGTTGTGTGAAATGTTACTGACTTGGGAGCAGTAAGATACATACAATTTAAAATTATTTTTTCTTAAGACTGTACCTTTTGCACACAGTGTTTACAAAGTTCATGCCTTTGTTTAAATTATTTAAATGCACAGTGGCAAAGCCACAGATGTTTCTGTAATGAGCAGTTCAATAAAAATGTCATTTATTTCAAGTCATACATGTTTGAATTTAAGATAGCTGGGTGAGACAACCACATTTCACAGTTGTAGTAAGAACGTCTTCCCTAAATAAAGTAGTTATCAGCTAATTCAGTGCTAGTAGGAAAATATGTTTTTATTTATATATATTTTTTGATTAGTTACTCCTATGCCATGTCAAAACGTTTTAGATGTTACCAAAGCCCCTGTAGTAGGAGTATACACTCCATCATCATTTGTGCTGAACAACCACATTTCATGTGCCCTCCCAGGCTGGTGGTGGCGGTAGAGGAGGCCTTCACACACATCAAGCGCATGCAGGAGGAGGAGCAGAAGAAAGCCCCCGGCGACGTGATGGACCCCCGTGAGGCCGCCCAGGCCATCTTCCCCTCCATGGCCCGCTCCCTGCAGAAGTACCTCCGCACCACCAGGCAGCAGCACTGCCACAGCATGGAGAGCATCCAGCAGCACCTGGCCTTCTGCATCACCAACAACATGACGCCCAAGGTGACCAAGTGTTCTGATCAGTGGAGGCTGGTGGGAGGAGAAATCGGAGGACGAGCGGATTGTAATGGCTGGAATGGAATAGTTGTGTGTTCCATTCATTCCATTCCAGCCATTACAATGAGCCCGTCCACCAATTTAAGGTGACATCAGCCTCCACTGGTTTTGACCAACTCCTTTGAGTGTCACCTTACTTGTATAGTAGTAACAAATAATGATGTTATTTGGAAAGTGCTAACTCCTCTCCTCATAGGCCTTCCTGGAGAGTTACCTGACCCCCGGGCCCACCCTACAGTACGGCCGCGAGCGCTGGCTGGCCCGGCAGTGGACTCTGGTCAGTGAGGCCTCGGTCACCAGCGGCCTCAAGGAGGGTGCCATCTTCCTCGTCAAGTGCATAGACTTCAGCCTGGTGGTGACGGCCAAAAGGATCCCCTACATCCAGCTTTCAGAGGAGTTCATCGACCCCAAGTCGCACAAGTTCGTCCTGCGGCTACAGTCAGAGACCTCTGTGTAGAACTGGACAACTGGTTTTAACACCACCACCCCTTTGTTTTCAAAATGGTTTTATTTGGGTTTGCAGTTTTGTTTTATTTTGGGATTTTTATATATTATATATGAATATATATATGTTACACACACGTTGGAATATATTGTCCTTTTTATCTATGGTTTACCTGGTTTATATGAGTTAATATTTTTTTTAATGTAAAAATATATATACACCGGTGATGAATTTGACACGTCTTGTATGCACACACAGAAGATTGAACTGGACTCTGTGGAGATGCAACTATTGAGGAACAATGTCTGCACACAACTGCATATAATGTGTCAATGTCTATGAACACAATCAGTTGTTCCACCTCTGAAAGACTGATGCAGAGCTCAAGACAAGGAATTGTTTTAATTCCATGACTCAAGACAGAAAGTAGAGACCGAAGGAGGTGGTGGTTGGCCATTTTGACATATCACGAGAAGTCAGATGACACTACTGTTGCCATGGCCATTCCTTCATTCCCCCTCAGCTAAACCACTACGGACGGTGAACTGCCACTATTTAACTGTCTCTTTTTAGGCTTTTATCACAATCGCCTCAGGCCTGTCTGCTGTTCTGCAGCGGAAGCTGTCCCACTCCTCCCTCAGTCTCTACCAACAGAGTGAGAATGTCTCTTGATGCCCTCACTTGGACAGACACCTGTATTACTGAGGCATCTGGGATCGATTATTTGGTCTGCTTTCTCTGGATCATAACTGTCCACCTTAATGCCCAAGGCTTGGTTTCCTATTTCCTGTTGAAACTCAACCATTTTGACTTAAATCATGAAACTATAGCTACTTCAATCACATTTTTGCATTACATGCACATGTTCTCTACATTTGTATATTGAATATGTATAAACACATTGTGATATAATGGTGTGTAAATCTATGCCTACTGGGTTAATCTCCCTCCCATTTCCTTATATCCCAATCTGTGGATGTACATTAGTCAGAGATGAATATCAGTAGCATTTGTTTTGTAATTCTAATTTAAACAAAACCCTTGTTTTAGCTGTTATTGGTGATGTTAAATTCAAATTCAATGCCAATTTATACGGCCTTAAATCTCCAAGGGATCTGTTAAAAAATATGTATTTTTAGGCCTCAAAGTAAGTAGTACGGCTTATGCATACAGCAGCACTTTTCCAGGTGCAATGTAGCAATACAACAGCATGTTATACTGCAGTTAATCTCATCCACAAGCCAGCTCTCTCTCTGTAACAGAAGGTTATACTGTACTATACAGGCCCATGTTCTGTTAGAAGTACTACTGTCAACACGGGGGAAGCTCAGATGGGTCCATCCATATCCCAAATGAACAGATGTAACATTTTCAACATACCAATACACTCATGGCTGGTTTGTAAAGCAGAGCTCTTCAAACATTTAAAACCAAAGTTGCCCATTTTAGGAATCCCATAGGATCCTGATTGCTGATGTAACTCCTCAATATTTACAGCTTCTGTAATTGATTTTGGAGATGTGCTGCTGTCTCCGTTCCACTTTTACATTTTTCATGGGATGTTCCCACTTCCCAGCTTAGTCATATTTTGATATCGAGTCCATTAAGGACCCTGTATTTGCTGAAATTTAACAATTACCTTTTTATAAAGCAACACATTCATGTCCCGCATATATCTCTCATCTCAGAGTTCGGGCTTTAACGTCTATCACGCTTACTTTGCATGATGGAGAACTCCAGGAGAGAAGATACACAGATGATACAACTAAGGTATGACACTGATTTGGACCACAGCATAAATCTTCCCTGTGTACCTTGTACACTGTACGCAGAACTCTATTCTGCAGCTATTACCATTGAAGCTCTAAGCGGTTAGTTAAGCTAATCAACCCTCTTGAGATGGTGAGTATGGTATGAGGTGGTGAAGAGGAGCCTCCCTTGTAACTCACCCGTCTAGTTTGTCTTCTACTACAATGTCATCAAGTGAAATATATTGTTGAACTGTGAATCTGGGGACCTGATAGCTTTTGAATTGGTTCCTTATTAAAAAGGATGAACATAGAAATGTTTGATGAATTTAATCCCTCATAATGACATAAGAATCCTATATTCTCCCCTGGTGGATGTGGATGGCAGATTTAGATCCATCCAGGATGAGTTGTTTCAGAGGTGATCTGGACCAGCCTCCTTTCTACGTAAAATCTTCTCAATCCCCCGGTAGAATTGACTTCTGGCTTGTAGAGGTCCTCCACGGTAGTACAGCTCTACATGTCATTCATAAAAAACGAAACTGTCCGTCAGCGCCCCCTGGCAGACAAACCAGAAGGTGTAAGACTGGTATGGCCTGGGTTTACTGTTGATGGGTGGTGAAACATGCAGGCTTTTGACACATTTTCACACCTTCACAAACAAACGCATGATGCCGTGTCAGGTTATACACAAAGCATTTTTTAACGATCAGCATGTGGCTCATAAAAGCCACTTGGAAATGCAACTTCTCTTTGTTTTCTCACTCGTCATGAAAACAAACGTATTTTATACTTCTAGCACTGGGAGTTTTTTGTACCCATAATGGATGGACTTTGTATGAACCCCAACTCCTGTGACTGTGCCTCTTGTCTTTACACTGTATGTATTTATGTAGCTAAGCGTGTGCATATGTCATTCCCTTATCACATGCTCAGCCTTCCCTGTATTGACCGCAGGTTGACGTTTATTGGGATAAGTCTTGCCCTGGAGGCAGAACTGAGCGATTTCCGCTAGATTAGCCAGCGTCAAAATTGGCTGTATTGTAAAAATTCATGAAAACAAAAAATTGCTGTTTGTTCTTAATTAAAGGTTAGTGTTAGCAGTATGGTTAAGATTAGGGTAAAATCAGATTTTATGACTTTGTGGCTGTGCCAGCTAGTGACCACTCTGTAAAGCTGCCTCCATACATGAGTCATCCCAAAAAATGCTAACCTGCGTATTGACCTCTGTCATCTGGCCTGGTCACGACTAGGCTAAAGGTTAGCCAGGTTGCAGTCATACTGTAGACCTCTACTTTTTACTGACCTGACATCGCATTGTAACAAATGTGTCAATTTCACTATACAACATAGGCATTTGTGTAAAATAAACATTTTTATGAACATTTGTAAACTGGCTCTAGGAAGGACTGTTTTTTCAAGCATTCCATTGAAATGATTTTTTTTTGGACCATACAACTATATCCTAGCATGTCTGTGGTCCATTATGTGGTGGTTATAAATTTAGGTAACATCATTGAGTGCCATTGGTACTAAGAAATCACTTATATTGACTGTCACCCACGTATAGAAAGTGAAATGACCATTACTTGTTGCCTCTTCTGAGGAGGCTCAATGAGGAGCTGTCAGTGTGTATAATTGTCTAGACCAGAGTTCCACTACTTTATAAATGAATACAGTGCTGCCAGACTACCCACAAGTACCACAGTGTGTTGTTATGACCTATTAACTGTCAAACCCCAATTTAAACATTCTGCTTTGTCATCGCCCATTAACAGTTTGATCCTGCTATATGAGCCAAATGTCAGCTTTTTGGGTTATTTTGGGGCTGGCTGGTTGTTGTCATGGTGCCCATAGTAATTGACTTGCTGTCAGGCTCTCAGTGGGGCGCCACACAGCCTTGTGGGTAAATGAATGTGTGCAGCGGCGACGCACGCGACCTCATCCCCCGAAAACTAGCTGCGGGCCCACCTGTCACTACTCATCTGTCACCGGTTTAATCCTCGCTTCTCCTTCGCTCTCCGGAAGAGCAACAGAGATACATAATCAGAGTGTGGAGAGGAAATGAGAACCATTTGCATCTAAATGGAATGTTCTTTTCTCATACTTTCCCTCCTTTGGTTTTGTAATGACTTGGTGATGTGTGCTGGCCTGGCTGTGTGCAGACCGACTGAAGCAGTGGGGGAGAGATCAGTGGTATTTGGTTCTCACAGCCTGCTCTGAGCCTTTTGGGCTCTGATGAACAAGATCAGTTCTGGGTAGGGCAGATCTGTAGTAATATCCTGTGCTCACAGAAGTCTGATGAAGCTCTTCTGACCAAGGAGCTTGACTCTGAAACACATCAGGAATACACACTGAAAGGTCCAATGCAGCTGTTTTTATCACAATGTCAAATCATTTCTTGGTAACAGTTAAGTACCTTACTCTGATTAGTTTCAATTAAAATGGTCAAAAAGAAACAAAAATAGCGTCTTAGCAAAAGGCAATTTCTCAAGCAAGAATTTTGCTGGGACTGTCTGCGAGTGGTCTGAGAGGGGAGAGGAAAACAGAAAATGAGCTATTATTGGCAGAGCGGTTTGAAACTCTTTCTTATTGGTCTATTAAATGAGAATTTTGCTTTTTTACAACCAAATCAATTTTTGATATAAATGCCATGTTATAGAAGGGTCCAGACACTTTTTTGCGATTTCACTTGTTTTTGAGAAACGTACCCCAAGCAGCGATTCACTTCCTCATCCTAGTTGTGCAGTATGGGGGCTCTGGAAAAACATGAACAAAGGCTCCAAAAACATTCTGAACTTTATCTGCAACATTATATTCCATTTTTTTGTGACTCGAGCAATACCTCTCCGTCCATTTTAGCAGCAGGCGACACGGAGAATGGAACAGCTGGATTGGGGAAGCGGCTTGAGTCGCACAAAATGGAATATAACGTTGTGGATAATGTTCAAAATGACAATTTCATGTGTACAATATCTAAACACCTGCATCACTATACTGAGAGCGTTTCCGTTTCTAAAAGGATATATTTGGGTGTTTTTGGATCATTTGTTCATGTTTTTTCAGAGGCCCCGTACTGCACAACGAAGAGGAGGAAGTGAATCGCTGCTTAGGGTAGGTTTTTAAAAAACAAGTGAAATCACCCCAAAAAAATCTAACACAATACTTTACATAAATTGAGATTTGGTTGTAAAAAAGCCAACTTCTCCTTTAACTATATAATTTACTGCATCCCACCAAAACAGGCTGAAATTTCAGGCGGTCTTTTCAAGTAGCGCTTACACTAAAATGGCATCATTTTCACAATTTCAAAGTATTATTCCTACCTCATAGTGTGGAAATATATATAAAACACAGGAAAATCACATTTTTGACTGCACTGGGCCTTTAAATGTGCACTAATAGTGGCAGGTGCACATAACTCTCCCCATCAATCAATTGTCTCTTCTTTGATTTTGCACCTGCAATAAACCTCCCTCTCAGTCCCCAAACAAAAACTAACAAGTGTTACGGCCACACTGTTAAACTGATAGAGAATAAGGCCCGGGATGGAGATTACCTACTCTTACCTATTTTAGGGTCATGTCTAGAAGGGATTCTAGCTAACCCTAAAATAAAATAAACGTTTAAAAAAACGAACCCTATTCCAAACCTTAACCTAATTCTCCTATCCTGCTACGTTAATTATCCTAACCTGCTGCGTAAGGTCTCCTAAACCTGCTACGAAAAGTCGATTTTAACAAAAGCTGTATCCCTTTTAGACCAACCCTTTCTTAGTCCCATCTTCCATGGAGCTTTTGCTGTTCGCTGAATAACCAAACGCCTGACCGATGTGCCAACCCCTCTTTGCATTTACTTCAGCCATTATTCATGTTGAACATCATCACGTTTTGTCGTGACACGGGTATCAATAAAAGTGAAGGCCCTGGAGACCCTTACTGGGGGCCACAAGCATAATTCACACACTCATACTGGTCTTAAGTGTTTTCACTCCCGGTTCCCTTGGGGCAGGGAGAACATGCAGTGATTTGTCCTGTCGCCTGCGGATACAACCTCTTAGCTCCTCCACCACATCCCTTCAGCCATAGCATGGCATGTTTATGTATCGTGCCATAATCCAGACATACTGTCTGCATACCACAGCATATGAGTAGCTGGAGGGAGGTGATTTTAACTGAATCTCTCATATTCATTTATGCCCAGTAACACTGATTCACCCAGAGTGTGTGTGTGTGTACATTAAAAGTGTGTGTGTGTACATTAAAAGTGTGTGCGGTTGCAGTTGTGGGGTGGGTTGCCTGTGCCTGTGCCTGTGCCTGTGCTTCCCACCCTGCATTAGAAGGACTAACGATGTTGCATTATTCAGAACGGTTTGAATAATTCATAGTGAGAAGTGTACAGCCAGAGAGGATGCTGGTCGGGACTCTGGCTGGCAGTGTGAGAGTTGACCTCAGTAATGACAGAGGCCTGAAGCATAAACACACTCACACTCACACTCTCTCTCTCACACACACACACTCACACACACTCTTACATGTAGACATAGACACACACGTACACGCCAGTGGAGGCTGGTGTGGGAGAAGCTATAGGAGGACAGGCTCATTGTAATGGCTGGAATGGAATAAATGGAACTGAGTCAAACGTGGTTTCTATATATTTGATCTGTTTGATACTATTCCATTCCAGCCATTACATTGAGCCCGTCCTCCTATAGCTCCTCCCACCAGCCTCCACTGGTACACACGCATCACACGCATACACACACCCAAGACCTTTAGGTTACATTACATTTATTCATACAGTATCACATAATTATACAATCAAGTATTTATTGAATCAAGAACACAACCTGGACTAAGAACCTTTACTTTTACAATCATCTGCCATAAAGAAGCTTTTATTTAGAAAATGTACAAAGTTATTCTATGATGGACTAGTGTTACAGTTTTATTTCACAGTCTAATTAAGTATTTACCTGCTATGGTCTGAGAAATTGCATGTTAACAATTGGTTATTATAGTGCTTCTAGTACAAAGAACTGAACACTACAGATAACTACCTGGTATCAAGAAGTAAAGGCTATACATGTACTTATTTAAATAAATCCCAAAGAAACCAAGCGTTTACTATTCGATAATTCTCATGCAACTACCATTTTACCCTACAATTTCCATGAAAATACAAGATAAATACCAGACTGTTCAATAAAACATAACCCATGCAATCTCTGTTAGACTGCAGGTTAGTCACTGTCATCATTGCCATCATCGTCTCCACGATCATCGTGATGGTCACTATGGTGCCTATCCTCCCTGTCAACCCCGTCATAATCATAGTCATCCTTCACATCATCGTCATCCTCAGTGTTGACCTTCCCAGACAGCACGTCTTCTATCCAGTCCTCCAGTTCCTCAGCCGTGGGCAGGTCTTCGTCATTGGACATGTCCAGCCAGATACTGTCCGCCTGCCACAGTGGGGGTCAAAGTTCAACCACTTGCCACCTCATCCAATTAGATTTGTCTTCAGCTCAAGAGGTCATACAGATTCTATTCTAATGAGATGTCCAGAGATGTTATCTTACCATTACGTTGAATCAACAGGTGGAACACAATTTAAGTTAAAGGAGAGCTCAACTTACGTCTGTCACGTTCACAACTCCAATCTGAGGCTTAAACAGGTTCACCTTGAAGGTCTTCTCCCAGTATGTGGTCAGCTGGATCGGGGAGACAGACACAAAGCATTGGTGCAGTTTATAAAGCTGAACAATTAACTCACACCAAATGAAATATGTCTTCATATGTAATGGTGTGTGTGGGGTCAGAGGTCATACCAGTGGGAAGTCATCAGGGTCAATCCACACTATACTGAGCTCAGGGTTGTTGGTGTTGTCTCTGGCCACATCTTTCAGGATCTCTAGGAACTCATAACCATCTGGAGAAATCACAGATGGACAGCTTAGAGATATTTGTACACACCCATTTGTGTCCTTACCCATGTACTGCATTAAATATAGAATCCGCATTATGGGAAACAGCGCCACTGTCCGCCCCAGCACCTTGGTTATTGTTTTTTTGTGTGGACAAAATGGAGGAGAGGTGGGTCGAGAAAATTGCAGTACATATTCTGCTGTTCTATCTGTTGTTTCACCATTAAGGATTCCAGCTTTAAAAATTAGAAAATAAAGATCAACAAACCAGGGTCTTCCTCCTCAGCAAAGGCTACAATGTGGATCCCATCCAGGTCATCCTCCTGGGAAAGGGACATTGAATGAGTAAAGGGTACACATATAATACTACCAGTATAATTCCCTATTCTCAGGGAGAGGTACAGTAATACTGTAGGTAACTCACCCATGTCTCAAACATGTCCTCCGCACGCAACTTTCTCAGAGTCGCCCTGTAGAAGACAGACCACAGCCACACAACATTTCAAGAATATCCAACAGTAAACTGGGTCATCCATATGAGATCAGGAATATTAACAGTGATGATATGAAAAATGACTGGATTCTAATGATCCATCTGCACCAATGGGAGAAGTTAAAACCACAGAACTGAAGGGTCGCACACATCGCACCAAATGTGGATGTTCTGTTCGTCGACCGATCGTTCAGTGATGTCTGACTGCCGACATTTTCACGCGATCCTACATGTAAAATCGGTTTCAAGTACTCTCGGCAGGCAAGTGTTATTGGTGTGTTCGAGCCCTAAAATAAACTATACTTTTTATGGTTACCTTTTGTGTTGGTGGACAAACTCCACTATCTCCATCTCTGAGAGTTGCCTGCCAGGAAGGATGGCTGGTTCCTCCATGAAGGGCTCATAGAAATTCACCTCGTTCATCTTCAGAGAGAGGTGCTTCGCCGTCTGCATCACAACACACACACTTAGCTATCACTGATGTTGTGTAGAAACTGACCTAGATATTGCCTACACACACATGTTTGACTTGATTCAGGTTTGTGGAGTGTACTGTACTTACAGCTTTGTCGAATGTGGCGAAGAACTTGATATAGGGCTGAAACCGCTCTGAGGCCTCCTGGAATGCCTTGTAGTCTGATAGAATGGAAGAAGAAGAGGAGGGAGAGAAAGAAAGAGATTACAGTTTGGCAGGGTTGCATTCAAAACTCATCTTCCTTCAGAAAGCTATGTGATCAGGAAAACAAGGGTTGACATTCAATTTCAATTTCCCAGCGTAATCTCTCTCCCACCTCCTCAGTAACAGAACCATTTTACAACCAGCTTCTGAGGCGCCAGGCTATCCTCTCAATAAGCCCTAAGGTCACGGCCATAGGACCTACAATCTTCTCTCCGAAATAGGATTTTTCTTAATAAAAGCCGCATCATGCCTCTGTCAAATATGAGGAGATTTTTATCTTCCCTTCTCTCGCTTCTCCTTTTCTTCTTTGGAGCAGCGCTGTCTATAATTGCTCTCGACCTATTAGACAGAGAACTAGAAGCTATTAAAAGCCTCTCAGGAGGCAAGAAGGAGTGTAGATCAGCCCAGAACAAAGTGTCTTTTTAGCAGCTGGCTTAATGGCTATTTGCCTCTATTAGGTCCCATGTGGAGTAGTGAGCCTCTGGGGAGGATAGGGCAGGAACAGCAGGGAGACTTTAAGGGGGCTGATTTGGACAGCTGAAGTATGAAACCACACTGAGACGAGTGCACCTTAAAGCAAGGGACAATTTCTCACTCCCAACAGTTCTTCACACACTTCACTTGTTTGACACGTGTGAACAGGCCATCCCATAACACATGCTTTGGCATTCACAGACTCACATGAGTCCTCTCCCTTGAAGTAACCAATGAGGCGGATGTCTTCTTCCATCCTCTCGAAGGCCCTCAGTTCCATAGGGTTACTGATGAGCTCCACTGGGTCCTCCAACACCTAGGGGGCAGAGCAGCACAACAGCATGGTCATTCATTAACACAGTGGGAGAGAGTGGGCTGTGATGAGTGAGTGGCCTTGAAATACAGAAAAGTTGCCACTTGTATTAGGCAAAAAGCATTGCTTGTACTGTACATGAGCAACACAAGTTTACTCCTTGCGTTTATCTTTTATTAATTCATCAGGTTTGCTCTCTACTAGCTTCAAACTTTACACCACTAGCTATATTTACTAATTACAACATCCCTTCAAACACTAACTCTGTTTATTTTCCCAGGAAAGACAAGTGGGAAGAGGACTTACAGTGTTCTCCTGCTGAGCCGTGCGTTACATTGCATCATTTACATATCATCTAATGAGGCAGAAGCTGTTCATTTATTATAACATAATGAGCTAAGAAGTATTCTCCCCCTGTGGTTCTGTCCCTCTTACACTGGAGGAAGAGACACTTCCCTCTTCCCTCTCTCTTCTACCTCACACCTCCCTCTTCCCTCTCTCTCCCACCTCCCTTCTTCCCTCTCTCTCCCACCTCCCTCTTCCCTCTCTCCCACCTCCCTCTCTCTCCCATCTCCCTCTTCCCTCTTCCCTCTCTCTCCCACCTCCCTCTTCCCTCTCTCTCCCACCTCCCTCTTCCCTCTCTCTCCCACCTCCCTCTCTCTCCCACCTCCCTCTTCCCTCTCTCTCCCACCTCCCGCTCTCCCTCTCTCTCCCACCTCCCTCTCTCCCAACTCCCACCTCCCTCTTCCCTCTCTCTCCCACCTCCCACCCCTTTGTTTCCTACTCACATCCAGCAGGAATTCCACAAGGGTGTCTGCCGAGAATTCCCCGTCAAACTCGATCACACGGTCGTCCTTGAAGATGTACAGACTGCCCTCCTCCTCCAAACCTGAGGGCCCAGGTGAAAGGGGGTGTCACGCCCTGGCTCTGGGGACTCTTAAAAGTTGAGCCAGGGTGTGTAGTGTCTATGTTGTATGTTCTATGTTCATGTTCTTGTTCATGTGTTTCTATGTTGGCCGGGGTGGTTCCCAATCAGAGGCAGCTGTTACTTGTTGTCTCTGATTGCGAACCATACTTAGGCAGCCTGTTTTGCACTTGTCATTTGTGGGATCTTGTTCCGTAAGGTTTGTTTTGGTGTTTAACCTAGGACTACACGTATCGTTTTGTTATTTGTGTATAGTACTCATTAAAAGATGTACGCATATCACGCTGCGCCTTGGTCCGTTACTTACGACGATCGTGACAGAAGATCCCACCAATACAGGACCAAGCAGCGTGTTCAGGAGCAAACACCAGGAAAAGAACTGGAGAAGTTGGCGATGTCCCAGGTGGGCGAATGGTGGTCTTGGGAGGACATGTTTGCGGGAAAAGGGCCATGGGAAAAAGTTAAAGCCCTGGCGAGAGAGGAGGTACGGCGCCAACCGTGCCGTCGTCAAACAGGCGAGAGGCAACCCCAAGACATTTTTTTGGGGGGGGGCACACGGCATGGACGACGGGGAAGCTGGAGGCAGCTACAGGACGTATCGGTGAAATAGGAGAGGAGGCCACCAGGTTACGGGGGCTATTGGTCATGAGGGAGCAGGAGTTAGTTGGTCAGAGGGAGGAGCTACTGGAGGCGATAAGGGAGAAGGAGAGAGTAGAGGCACGGCGAGAGGAACTGGTTAGGCAGCAGAGGGAGCGGGGGTTTATGAGGAAACCCAGTCCCGCACCTCGCACCAAGCAAGTGGTGTGTGTCACCAGTCCGGTCCGGCCCGTTCCTGCTCCCCGCACTAAGTTAGTGGTGCGTGTTCCCAGTCCGGCCCGGCCCGTTCCTGCTCCTCGCACTAAGCCAGTGGTGCATGTTCCCAGTCCGGCCCGGCCCGTTCCTACTCCCCGCACTAAGTTAGTGGTGCGTGTTCCCAGTACGGCCCAACCCGTTCCTGCTCCCCGCACTAAGCCAGTGGTGCGTGTTCCCAGTCCGGCCCGACCCGTTCCTGCTCCCCGCACTAAGTTAGTGGTGCGTGTTCCCAGTCCGGCCCAGCCCATTCCTGCTCCCCGCACTAAGTTAGTGGTGCGTGTTCCCAGTACGGCCCAACCCGTTCCTGCTCCCCGCACTAAGTTAGTGGTGCGTGTTCCCAGTACGGCCCAACCCGTTCCTGCTCCCCGCACTAAGTTAGTGGTGCGTGTTCCCAGTACGGCCCAACCCGTTCCTGCTCCCCGCACTAAGTTAGTGGTGCGTGTTCCCAGTACGGCCCAACCCATTCCTGCTCCCCGCACTAAGTTAGTGGTGCGTGTTCCCAGTACGGCCCGACCCATTCCTGCTCCCCGCACCAAGCCAATGGTGCGCGTCGCCAGCCCGGTCCGGCCTGTGCCTGCTCCCCGCACCAAGCCAATGGTGCGCGTCGTCAGCCCGGTCCGGCCCGTTCCTGCTCCCCGCACCAAGTCAGTGGTGCGCGTCGCCAGCCCGGTCCGGCCCGTTCCTGCTCCCCGCACCAAGCCAGTGGTGCGCGTCGCCAGCCCGGTCCGGCCCGTTCCTGCTCCCCGCACCAAGCCAGTGGTGCGCGTCGCCAGCCCGGTCCGGCCCGTTCCTGCTCCCCGCACCAAGCCAGTGGTGCGCGTCACCAGCCCGGTCCGGCCTGTTCCTGCTCCCCGCACCAAGCCAGTGGTGCGCGTCGTCAGCCCGGTCCGGCCTGTTCCTGCACCAAGCCAGTGGTGCGCGTCGCCAGCCCGGTCCGGCCTGTTCCTGCTCCCCGCACCAAGCCAGTGGTGCGCGTCGTTAGTCCGGCACGGTCCGTGCCTGTTCCACCGGTGCCTGGTCCGGCACCGGTCAGCTGCTCCACACCGGAGCCAAAGCAATCCGCTCCACCGATGTCCAGTCCAGCTCCAGCCAGCGGGACCACACCAGGGGCGCTACGGGGGGGTAGCGAGAGAGTGGTGGTCACGCCCGGAGACGGATCCGCCTCCGAGGCGGAATGCCCACCCGGCCCCTCCCCTGTTGTGTTTGGTTGGCGCGGTCGCAGTCCGCGCCTTTGGGGGGGGGGGGTACTGTCACGCCCTGGCTCTGGGGACTCTTAAAAGTTGAGCCAGGGTGTGTAGTGTCTATGTTGTATGTTCTATGTTCATGTTCTAGTTCATGTGTTTCTATGTTGGCCGGGGTGGTTCCCAATCAGAGGCAGCTGTTGCTTTTTGTCTCTGATTGGGAACCATACTTAGGCAGCCTGTTTTGCACTTGTCATTTGTGGGATCTTGTTCCGTAAGGTTTGTTTTGGTGTTTAACCTAGGACTTCACGTATCGTTTTGTTGTTTTGTTATTTGTGTATAGTACTCATTAAAAGATGTACGCATATCACGCTGCGCCTTGGTCTGCTTCTTATGACGATCGTGACAGGGGGATTCAGGAAGCATTGGTGACTGGGCGCCAACTGGAAAACAAGCCTAGACAAATACCTATTTTGTAGAGGTTATGGCATTTTGATATTTTTGATGTGACCAGGGGTTTGCCTGACCATGTGACCTGACCAGGAAACACTCTGGGACCTATATATGACAAATGAGGACGTACCCAGTTTCTTGGCCACTTTAGCATCCTTCTGGGAGTCGACCATCCCAAAGCCAATGTCCTTGTCCTCCAGGACCTGTGCAGTCAGCTGAGGATTTAACAAGACACAACATTTATTATCAGCCAACTTGGTATTTCAACAATGTGTTGTTTGGGGTGTTGTGGGCTCTTATTTCTTTATGATCCACCTCAATCATTAGAACAATTCTGCATTGCAGTAGTCCACTGTGGGAAATATAAATATATAACCTGCTTTCAAACTCAACTTCCTCTCTCTCTGATGCTTGGTATTTGGGCTGGCAACCGCAGCCAGTGCTGTCTTTGTCAATATGGCTTTGATCACCAAGGTTCTAGAGGAGAGCACCCTGTGGACTGACTGTGGGAGAAACTCCTTTGTAAGTGTCAGCACTGTTTACTGCTCAGAAAACACTTCCTCAGAGAGGAACAAAGGCCTCTAAACTACTACTGCACTGCAGAGGGGTAAAGGGGAGTTTGACTCAGGTCAGTCTCCTGAGTGGCGCAGTGGTCTAAGGCACTGCATCGCAGTGCTAACTGTGCCACTAGAGATCCTGGTTCGAATCCAGGCTCTGTCGCAGCCGGCCGCGACCGGGAGACTCATGGGCGGCGCACAATTGGCCCAGCGTTGTCCAGGGTAGGGGAGGGAATGGCCGGCAGGGATGTAGCTCAGTTGATAGAGCATGGTGTTTGCAACGCCAGGGTTGTGGGTTCAATTCCCACGGGGGGCCAGTATAAAAAAAATATGTATTCACTAACTGTAAGTCGCTCTGGATAAGAGCGTCTGCTAAATGACTAAAAAATGTTTAAAAAAAAAATGTTGTGACTGGGGTGGGTACTTCTAACTTATCGAAAAACTGATATTTGCGAATAGTTAAGCTACTGTTTACTATGCATTTATACTGTCACAAGAAGCAATGGAGCCTCTTTGATTAGCTAGTTCATGTATTCTGAGCCAATTAAGTAGTTATAAGCTATAATTATAGGCTGACCTAGAATCCTGGGACATTGGGGTAATCAACATGGGAATATACATAATCATCACATCCTGAATGTATGATACTGCTCTGTTCTACAAGAGAAACCAGGTAATGCTCTCTCTAAAACTACCCATCAACCTTTGACAAATGACATCAATATAACCTATAGAGTTCACTCTTTAGGTCAAGGATGTCAAACTCATTCCACGGAGGGCCGAGTGTCTGTAGGTTTTTGGTTTTCCTTTCAATTAAGACCTAGACAACCAGGTGAGGGGAGTTCCTTACTAATTAGTGACCTTAATTCATCAATCAAGTACAAGGGTGGAGTGAAAACCCGCAGACACTCGGCCCTCTGTGGAATGAGTTTGACACGTGCATCAAGTATGGAAAACGGAAATAAGATATTATTCTAGTTTTAGTCTGTTCTTTCTCATGACATGTTGTGACAGATAAGCTTCAGTGTAAGTGACAGAAAGTTATGTGTGATTGAGGTGCTTTGACTAATCTCTGACATCAAATCTTTGTTTTACAAAGGCTTCTGATTGGTCATATAGCAGCTGTCCAGGCACATAACTTATTTCTGCTGTAACTCTTGTCCACACAGTGTCCAGCAATCCTCATTTCAAATGTCCTGGTAGCGCATAAAGATGTCAACACTATTTATGATGTCACCGGAGTTGAAGTGACAGACAGTTAACTTCAGTGAGTGAAGCCATGTAAATCAACCAGCTTAAATGTGATGGAAAGACGATGCTGACCTTGGGAACAAACAGGTGCTTTTACAAAGACGTATCTAAGGAACTAGGATGTGTAGTATATCTGCCATGTCAATTATCAAATTAAATGTTTAAATTCACTGTGATTACCATTAAGCCTTAAAGCTCTACATGTCCATATGTCCCCATCTTCATCTGTTAAAATGACCTTTTGTCTGTGCTCTACACATTTTGTCTTGGGGTCGAATAATAATCCCATAATCCTATTCACAACCTTGTTGACCTTGCTTACCAAGAAACATCTACTATCCGGGATCCTTGGGATGTCCCTACCCAAAACTCTAACCCTAACCTTAACCCCTACCCTAACCCTAACCCTTACCTAACCCTAACCCTAATTTTAATCCTTACCTTAACCATTTTCAATTTCAACAACAATGGGGAATGGACGTCCCAAGGATCCCAGATAGCACTGACCCTCAGACAAGGAACGTTGGCCCCTGTTGGCTGCCCAATAGCATCTGCACATCCCTGCACTACTTTTCCCCCCTCTCTCTCCTCCACTCTCACCTCGTCTCCTCTTCCCCCTCTTACCTCCAGCACAAGCTCAGTCATCTGAAGCTGCTTCTGCCTGCCTTTGTGAGCTGGCTGCGGTTCATGGTAGAGTAGGCACAGCATGTCAAACCTCTTCAGAGCCTTCTTGTAGTTGCGTTCGTTGATGTGCAGAACGCGGTCCTTCCCGTCAAAGCTGGGGAACTCCAGTCCTTGCTCTGCAGAGCACAGGGAGGCCAAGTACAGACAGGGCAACAGGGACAGCCAGAGGAGCTGCATGCTTCTTAGAGGGAAATGCCTACTAATGGACAATGAGTAGGAACTGGAAGAAGCAGAGGAAACTATACAGAACTATAACCCTTGAGACTTCAATGGATAGTAGCCAGTACTAGCCACCAATTGGCACCAGTAAAAGAAGCAGAAAAATAAGGTTTGAAAATATCAAGCAAGCATAGAATTGTTGTTCACCCCTAAAGTCTCCAGCTCTGGTTGTATTCTTCCTCTCTCTCTTCCTCACTCTCTCTAGTTCTCTTTCTGCCTCTCTCTCTCTTTCCCTTCCTCGTTCTCTCTCTTTCCTTCTCTCTCTCTTTCTTGCCTGCCTCTCACTCTGTGGTTGAAAAAAGAAGCCCCCAAAAGTGAATCCAGGGAGCTTTGGCAGAGTGGAAAGTGGCCCCCTCTCTATCACACTTCCAGGGGGCTTTTTATGAGGCCAGTTGTTTCTGGGCTTAAAATAACTGGTGGGCTACAGAAAATAGGACAGCTAGATAGACAGGAGAACCCCAGGGGGTTTCCACCGTCTCTCTATCAGTGCCTGACATGATGAAACATCTCTCTAGCTGTCAGGGGAATAGCCAAGGAGTTGGGATGTGGGGCGGAGGAGAGAAGTGGATCTAGAGTGAGAGGGTTCGCCATTATGTTTGGAACGTGTGTTTTCAGTCATGTGAAGTGATGTTCCAGCATGCATGTTATCCTTATACAGTAGAGTGTTTAAAGAATAACAGGTAAAGCCTGTCATCTCCAATGTGAAGGAAATGTAATCATTGCCCTCACACAAGCCACTGTTTGTCCTTAGGAAGCCACAGTGTGTTTAGATAACATTCCAGTCCTTGTACTCCAGTGTCATATGCCAAATGGCAAGGAGTGGAATGATATCTTAACAGACTGGTACCCAGACTAACAGTGTGTTACCATGGTGCAGATGAGCATACTGAATACTGATTTGTTCATTGTGTAATGTAGCTCCACGGCTAGGTAGAGAGGGCCAAAATAACACTTATAATGCCATTGAAGTTTACAGATGTCATATGTCTGTGTCCTTTATTTTTCAGGGGGACCAACAGCATTGAACAAGGCTGTGTACATAACTGTGATTGAATGTGTTTGTGTGATCAAATTCAAATCTAATGAGCAGCAGATTGGGGCCTCTTTACATTGAAACAAAAATAAGCAATTTACAGAACCAACCTTGACTCAGGTCTAGATGTAACATAGTAAAAGGAAATCTGTCTACCGCCATTTAGTATGATGTGTTACGTTTCTCAAGGGTGCTGCTCATTCCCCTCCTGTACTCCCTGTTAACCCATGACTGCATGGCCAAGCACGACTCCAACACCATCATTGAGTTTGCCGACGACACAACAGTGTAACAGGGAGTTACAAGTAGTTGCAAAGTAGCTAAAAAGTAGTAAGTATTTGCAAAATTGCTAATTAGCTAAAATGCTAACGTTATCCGTGATGAGATTAGGGGAAATATTTGAATTTGAGCAACCAGGAAAAAGAGGAGCGATTTCTACATAGTGCAACTTTAAAGATGCACTATGTAGAAATCGCTCTGCCATTTCCTGGTTGTTAAAATTATAATTGTTCGTCTAATTTCAGTTTATGTACTAAAACAAGCAGTAATTGTGTAGAGAATCATTGTACTATCTAAATCGTTAAGTTGTACAAAACCGAAAATAAAAGATGAGAATGAGAAGCCTAGAAATAACTCACAGAACAGATCTACCGCTTACTATCCTTGCATTCAAGATTTATAACTCACGTTTCTAGGTGAATTTGGTCAGGTTGCCCAAAAAGTTACATATTGTAGCTTTAAGTAAACTGTTTTATGTAACTATACCAAACGTAACGTATCATACTAATTTGGGTTACGTTTACTAATGCTAAAGTTAGCTAGGTGGCTAACATTAGCTAGTCCTCTGTAGCTCAATTGGTAGAGCAGGGCGCTTGTAACGCCAGGGTAGTGGGTTCGATCCCCGGGACCACCCATACGTAAAAATGTATGCACACATGACTGTAAGTTGCTTTGGATAAAAGCGTCTGCTAAATGGCATATTATTACTATGTTACATCTAGTCTATGAGAACAGGCTGACAGAACACACAAGTGCGCAAACGGTCCCAACATTACCGTATAGAGACGTCCATACCTGTAATTACGGTAAGTGTTTTCAGACCAAACTAGAGGCTGACCGAGCATCAGTCATCGCTAACTGTGTGAGCGAAGAAAATGAAGCTGCCTTGGCTCGTGATGCCTCTTCTAACTTTACAGTTTTGTGGAGTTGATTTCAGCGTGGCCGGATCAGGTAACAATAAAGATATGGAATATGTAAATTTGTGTTGTGCTGGACTCACATTGCATGACCGAATGAATCTCAGGAGTTCCCATTCATCCTAACTAGCTAGACCAGTTAACGTTCGCTAACAAACTAGCTAGCAAGTAGAACCAACTCATTCCATGCAAAATATTTTTTTTTGGCAGAAATCTTAGCACAATATTGGATACAGATTTTTCCAAATGCACTCCATTCAAGAAGAAGCAATTTGATTAACTGTGTGGCTCAAATTGTAACTTTAGCTAAGGTTAGTTAATGCAATGCAACAGGTCTGTTAGTTGTAGTAACGTTAGTTCGGATCACCCTAACCTTTCCCAGCCTGGTCTCATAGACTATACGTAACATACTAAATATAAATCCGGCGTACCAAATTAGTAAATTACAGTATGTTACGTTTGGTATGGTTACATAAGATAGAAGGTTACTTAAGGCAAAAATGAAAGGAGTGTTGGCGTATAACGCAAACGTCGAGCAACCCAAAGGTTGTGTGTTAGAATCTCATCATGGACAATTTTAGCTAATTAGCAACTTTGCAACTACTTACTACTTTTTAGATACTTTAACCCTAACCCCTAACCGCTAGCTAAAGTTAATCACCTAGCTAAAGTTAGCCACCTAGCTAACGTTAGCCACAACAAATTGGAATACATAACATTTCATATGAGTTGCAATTCGTAACATATCATATGAATTGTAATTCGTAACATATCATACGAAATGAAGCGTCTCAGATTGATGTACAGAATAATACGAAATGCTCTGAGACCAGGTTGCCTTGTCTCTTTTAAATACTAGTGTGCAGTTTATCCCGTATTTACAACCCAAGGCAGTGTGTAAGTAGCCTTTGCCACAGGCTTTCAGTGTGTAAGCAATCTTGCACATTGATCTGTATTTCAGTAGTCCAGGAAGAGCATGCTCTTTGCCTAACAAGCTCTGTTTTATTAGGTAATGGTGACAGGTGGCAGATATACCTTGAAAAGATCACCAAAGCCACACAACAATACAAGCCTTGCAGCCCAAACAACTGCAGTTGCCATCTCAGGTAATGCTTGCAGGAGAACCGATGTTGCTCCCTATGAAAACAGTATTGCTATACAAAAGGCTTTCAGCTTTTTAACAAAAAGCCATTGGTTGCCTTGTTAGAGCAGATCCTTCATTTTCTCTCAATTGTCCTCAATCCATCCAGTGTCTTGAATGATGACCTACGACCTTTCAGAGGGGGAGTGTCTGAGGAGCTCATGGCGGATACGCTTCGTCGTGGCGTGGGCACCCATTACCAAATTATTAATGGTAAACTGTATCGGGAACAGAACTGTATGTTCCCAGCCAGGTGAGGAAACAAAACAATCTGTGTTCACCAGTGGAGGCTGGTGGGAGGAGCTATAGGAGGACGGGCTCATTGTAATGGCTGGAATGGAATAAATAGAACGGTATCAAACACATCACACATATGGAAACCACATTAATTCCATTCCAGCCATTACAATGAGTCTGTGTACACTCTGAGTTTGTGTGTGCAAATGTTTCTTATCAAGCTTAGAAATCGGACCCTGGTTTTGTACGAGAAATGTGGTCCATTAATTAGTGGTCGATCATTTAGTAACATTTATTATCTTTAGGCCTATATCAGTAGCGAGCTAGTTAATATGCTACAGTCATCCTGTCTCTCTGGTTGGTTTAGGTGTAGTGGGGTGGAGCACTTCATCCTGCAGGTGATTGACAAGTTGCCAGACGTGGAGATGGTGGTGAACGTGCGGGACTACCCTCAGGTGCCAGGCTGGGTGCAGCCTATCCTGCCTGTCCTGTCTTTCAGTAAGGTCAGCTCTGCGACCATGCATGTCCTCATCACACACACAACAGTGTTGCTTGTTTCTGTTATTTAGAAAAAAGTTTTTACTTTTGTAAATTAGTGATATTTGTTGGATGTAGTAAAAGAGACTTGTCCAATGTGATGGCATTTGTTAGTGTAAAATGAATGTGTGTTTGTGTTGTGTGCATTTAGACTGCTAACTACCAGGACATAATGTATCCTGCCTGGACGTTTTGGGAGGGGGGCCCGGCGGTATGGCCCATATATCCCACTGGACTAGGACGATGGGACCTCATGAGGGACGACCTTAAAAAGTAGGTTTGACCTCCTTGTGGTGCAAGGAAACATTTGTATTTTATTAATGCTGCCAGATAATTTTCTGTGTTATTCACGAACACTCTGTTTGTGTTAGATCGGCAGCACGGTGGCCCTGGAATAGGAAAGAGTCCAGAGGATTCTTCAGAGGCTCCAGGACTAGTCCTGAGCGGGACCCCCTGGTCCTTCTGTCCAGAGAGGCTCCAGACCTGGTGGATGCTGAGTACACCAAGAACCAGGCCTGGAAGTCTGAGAAGGTCAGTCTGGAACTACCAATGCAAATGTCTGTGTGACAGTGGCTTGAAGGCACTGAGAGCAGTGCTATGTTTGTCAACCGCAATATCAACAACTGTTCAATATCCTCTTATTTTTTCTTAGGACACGCTAGGTAGACCACCAGCTAAGGAGATTCCCCTGGTGGAGCACTGCCAATACAAGTAAGAACAAGATATTATGGTGGAATTGCATTGAGCTTTGGTTTTGTTTATACTGTGTTTTACATCAAGTACATAGATGTGGCTTCACTCTCTGAGGCTCACTGGCATTTTCCAGGTCAGCCTGGATGAAATTAGACCCATTTAAAAAAGTTTTTTGCTTCAGAGATTTTTAGATTGACTGAGAAAACATGGCCCTGGTTTTCATGAGTTGAGAGGGAAACTTCCGTTACCTGTTTGAGGTCAGAGTTAATTAACCCTGGTTATTTATCTTAAACCTTCAGCTATGGTATAAAACAGTACAGGTGTACATTGTCAGCTTCAGATACATTTGCACGTGAGGCCAGGGCTCCAAATCATTAACTCACCATTGTGGTCCCATCCGTTGCAGACTACCAATTACAAAGGACAGGGTTAACTTTTTCCTTACCCTGTACACAATGACTACCTCATCATCTGACCTCTAACCCCTCAGGTACCTGTTCAACTTCCGGGGCGTGGCGGCCAGCTTCCGCCTCAAGCACCTGTTCCTGTGTGGCTCTCTGGTCTTCCATGTTGGGGAGGAGTGGCTGGAGTTCTTCTATCCCCAGCTGCTGCCCTGGGTACACTACATTCCTGTCAAACAGGACCTCTCTGACCTCAGGTGACCTCTCTGGCTTGGCTGTGTATCATAACTGTTCACCTGTTCAACTGTCGACTTGCTCCATGGGTAGTGTAGTGGAATATGTGGGTTTTCTATTATCTGAATGTGCTCTATTATATCTATAGTGATGTCCTCCTTTTCTGTCTTTCCAGGGAACTGCTACAGTTTGTGAAAGAAAACGATGACGTCGCTCAAGAGATTGCCGTTAGGTAACAAGCTGGGATATGAACTAGAAAAAATGGCTATAGTTAATGTAACCAGTCTGTCTTCTTTCTCACAGCTTGTACAGCAGCATGCTAAATAATCAGACTATTGATATTGTTGATTTTTGTTAGTTGACTAATCTCTGCCTCCAGGGGTCAGCGGTTCATCCTGGACCACCTGAGGATGGAGGACGTGTCGTGTTACTGGGAGAGACTCCTCACTGAGTTTGGTGGGCTGCTCAAGTACAAACTCCAGAGGAAGACTAACTACAATCAGGTCATCCACAAGCATGGGAGGACAGAACTGTGACAGAGTCAGGGGGGTCACTCTGTATGGAATATATGGAGGCAGCTCCAGTCCATAGATAGCTGCAGATTGATATTTGTTCACACTGCTTATTAATGTCACTATTGCTGGTCTTAGAATGAGGAATTACTGGTCTTCACATTTAGGCTGTGGTCTCCCCATAGATTCTCCATAGGGTTAGATGTAATGGAGTACCTTTTAATGTATTGTGTTATAGAAGATTTAGGAGCTGAAAAACGCTAGGAGAAGAAAGTGGCTATTTGGGATTGAAATTGCCATTGGGATTAGCACACAGAAAGAGTAGCATACTGTATATATTGCTTCTATTGCACAGTTTACAGTTTGTATTTAGCAGACCTGGGTTCAAATAATGTTTAGGGTATTAGAATTACTTTCAAATATATTTGGAAGTAATTATTTCAATATTTTTTATTTGAAAAGACAAGTAGTTGAATATTGGAAAGTATTTGAAAATACTAAAATACACTGACTCAAAAACACTCCCATACATTAGAAAAAATTATTTGAAAATACAGTACTTTCAAATAGGCTATTTATAGGAAATTATTTGAAAATACTTTTAAATAACTCCAATAGAAGTAGTTTCGGGCCACATTATTTGAAAATGTTCTCTGTATTTAAATAATACATTATGTATTTGAACCCAGGCCTGGTATTTAGTCTTTCCATGCTCAAAATATCAGCGACTTTATGCCTTGAAAGGAACTTAGGGTAGAGGATTTAGGAAGAGCTTGATAGCGTTTGCCATCAACTGATTTCCGCTATCTCACCCCACATTGAAATTGTGTGGAAAATCAATGAAATTGGTTGATTCTGGGAAATTATACCTAAAAGGCCATTTTCCATCTGCTTTCCCTTACTGCCCTCTAGTGTGTGACAGAAGACCTGTATGCTGCTCAGGAGTTGATACATCTATTCCATTTTATTGCCAGTGGTCCATTCAACTATAAACACAACCAAAACACTCATCTCACCTCAGTGTTGCCTCTGTTTAAGAAGAACAATACACTACCATTGCTATATACTGTAGAGATACAATGAAGCTTGAAACAATAGATATTAAGCAATAGATAACTACACTCAAACCAAGTGCCAACAGAACGTTATTCATTCATGTAGAATGACATGTTGTCAAACCCACTGTCATTACACTACTTTAATTGGACCTGCCTTGGAAAAGGAGTATAATCCACAATGGTACTGAAATGTTGAATATGTTCTAGTATTCCTATTGTAGAATGTATGTGTTAGTTCTCTGACTCTACAGCTGTGGCATCCACGTACAGTGAGGCAAAAATGTATTTGATCCCCTGCTGATTTTGTACATTTGCCCACTGACAAAGACATGATCAGTCTATAATTTGAATGGTAGGTTTATTTGAACAGTGAGAGACAGAATAACAACAAAAATCCAGAAAAACGCATGTCAAAAATGTTATAAATTGATTAGCATTTTAATGAAGGAAATAAGTATTTGACCCCTCTGCAAAACATGACTTAGTACTTGGTGGCAAAACCCTTCTTGGCAATCACAGAGGTCAGATGTTTCTTGTAGTTGGCCACCAGGTGTGCACACATCTCAGGAGGGATTTTGTCCCACTCCTCTTTGCAGATCTTCTCCAAGTCATTAATATTTTGAGGCTGACGTTTGGCAACTCGAACCTTCAGCTCCCTCCACAGATTTTCTATGGGCTTAAGGTCTGGAGACTGGCTAGGCCACTCCAGGACCTTAATGTGCTTCTTCTTGAGCCACTCCTTTGTTGCCTTGGCCGTGTGTTTTGGGTCATTGTCATGCTGGAATACCCATCCACGACCCATTTTCTATGCCCTGACTGGGGGAAGGAGGTTCTTACCCAAGATTTGATGGTACATGGCCCCGTCCATTGTCCCTTTGATGCGGTGAAGTTGTCCTGTCCCCTTAGCAGAAAAACACCCCCAAAGCATAATGTTTCCACCTCCATGTTTGATAGTGGGGATGGTGTTCTTGGGTTCATAGGCAGCATTCCTCCTCCTCCAAACACGGCGAGTTGAGTTGATGCCAAAGAGCTCGATTTTGATCTCATCTGACCACAAGACTTTCACCCAGTTCTCCTCTGAATCATTCAGATGTTCATTGGCAAACTTCAAACGGCCCTGTATATGTGTTTTCTTGAGCAGGGGGACCTTGCGGGCGCTGCAGGATTTCAGTTCTTCACGGCGTAGTGTGTTACCAATTGTTTTCTTGTTGACTATGGTCCCAGCTGCCTTGAGATCATTGACAAGATCCCCCCGTGTAGTTCTGGGCTGATTCCTCACCGTTCTCATGATCATTGCAACTCCACGAGGTGAGATCTTGCATGGAGCCCCCCCAGGCCGAAGGAGATTGACAGTTATTTTGTGTTTCTTCCATTTGCGAATAATCGCACCAACTGTTGTCACCTTCTCACCAAGCTGCTTGGCGATGGTCTTGTAGCCCATTCCAGCCTTGTGTAGGTCTACAATCTTGTCCCTGACATCCTTGGAGAGCTCTTTGGTCTTGGCCATGGTGGAGAGTTTGGAATCTGATTGATTGATTGCTTCTGTGGACAGGTGTCTTTTATACAGGTAACAAACTGTAATTAGGAGCACTCCCTTTAAGAGTGTGCTCCTAATCTCAGCTCGTTACCTGTATAAAAGACACCTGGGAGCCAGAAATCTTTCTGATTGAGAGGGGGTCAAATACTTATTTCCCTCGTTAAAATGCAAATCAATTTATAACATTTTTGACATGTGTTTTTCTGGATTTTTTTGTTGTTATTCTGTCTCTCACTGTTCAAATAAACCTACCATTAAAATTATAGACTGATCATTTCTTTGTCAGTGGGCAAACTTACAAAATCAGCAGGGGATCAAATACTTTTTTCCCTCACTGTATGTAAGGTGCTGTGTATTGTCTTGACCAACAAAGTAAGAGGTACAATGCCAAAAAAACTATGTTCAGCTTGTGGTCAAAACATATGACATGATCTTCATGGTTAGTCAGAGTATTTTATGCACAGAGATTGTACTATCATGGGCAGGTTGATTCACCTGCACAATCGGTGGAATAGTTTTGATTTATCTGTTGGGCTTTAATTCTTTGAGTAATTGATGCTATTTTTGGCTTGAAACAATGATAGAGTTGTGATATGATGCAATAACAGCTTTTTGTCAAAATATTTTGTTTCCTTACATTTTGCATTTTTATATCTAATGTATAATTTTTTACCTCGAATAAACCATTCAAATCTCAAGTAAATTCAGAATGGTCTCCCATCAATGTGTATGTTTGGTCCTCCACCTGAAGGGGGTGCTCTCCAACTAGATAGCTTCAATTTACTAGCTAGCAGTTCAGCGGTGTGCGGGTGGAAGTCAGAAGCAGGTAGGAAAGACAAACTACAAGGACATTTCAGATTAAATAGCTAAATACTCAGTAAACAATTTAACGGTTCAAACGCAGTCTGCGATATAACTATGCTTAGTTACGTTAGACAAATAATAGACTGCTTCACAAAGCACGGAACTGCTGAACAAGTTAGCTAACAAAGCTAGCTAGCATGAGGATGCTCTCTTTGCTTCTTCGCATGGAACAAGATGCTTTGAAAACGTGAAGTTATGGTAAAGACATGTACCGCCTTTGGTAACCGTGTCACCTCACGTGCTCCATTTGAATGCAAACGTAACATTGTATCGATTGTCGTTCAGTCTGCTTCATACGATAGCTATATAAGTGGTCATCTTTACCTTGGGTGGTGTTGACCCAAATGTCATAACAGCTGATTGAAGCTAGGCTGATCATTTCCAGCCAGTGTAGACAGTATTTATCAATGTTCCAGCAAGTGTTAAAGTTCCATAACAATAAATACCAACCCTCGAAATGTATAGTAATGTACAGTAGGTATTCTATTTTAGAATATTGCACACACTACTTCATACAGTACATAATATGCATATATCAACAATGTCTATGCCATGTCAGATGGGGTATTAAAACAGCTGTTGCACTGTGTATGTATTTTGACCATTTGCTCTCTATTCCTCTGCCCAACGGGCATTTATTTAGTAGAAGGATTAGCTGTAACATAAGTGTAACATCCTAGCTCCTGGCCATGTGTTCTCAGATCCAGCATCCAGCTCCCATTGCTGGTGAAGCGTTCATGATGCATCCTCCTGAACGGCCTGGGGCGTCCCCAGCCCCGTGTCAGCAGGCAGCCTCGGCCCCCCAGGGCACCCTCTGCACCGGACCACTGCGGGGTCTCCTCCAGCTAGCCATGCCCTCCCTGGGCCTCCTCCTCCCCAGGGTCCATGCAGCTGTCAGTGTGGCGCCTGCCCCGGTACAGATCCCCTCCCCCCTACCCAGCCTCGTGGGCAAGCCAGAGTTCCCAGACACTGGATGGGACCGCATTAAGGATCTCTTCGACAGGGAGTAAGTTATGACCGTGATGCCTCTCTCCTATTGTCTGTGGCTTAGCCGAGTAAACCCATCACCACCGGGGAGCGCTCCACATTGCTTACCTGTTCACCGGATGAGTTTTCTAGCCTGCACTTAGTTTAGAAGGTTCCAGACTTCTAGTGTCGCATAACCATCCTTGCCTTACTGGGCTTCATACATTGGCTGTCTAAAAATGCTCTGTTTGATTTTAAAGCTTGTTTATACACCCCTTCCCTGTGCTCCCAGTGAAATGCAGAAGTATCCAGAGGAGGTCTCTAGCGTGGTGAAGAGTACCTTAGCTGCCGCCTTGGCGGGCATGATCTACGGAGGGCTGCCCGCCGCCCGGCACGCCAGGGAGAGGTTCATCAAGCTCCACCAGGCTGAGATATACCATAGCCGAGTGGAAGCGGTGGTGAGTGTCTGCGGTTGTGAATTAACAGCAGGCCACTACATACATACATGCAATATGATGTCAATGCTTTTGTAAAAGTTTTCCCAAGTGCAGCGAAAGCACATTGTGTCTGTCCGTCTAATTCGGTTTATTTATGTTTGTGTTGATGGAGGCTCTGTGTTGTTGTTGTTCTCCTCCAGCGTTCTGCCCATAACGCAGCCATCCGGGGCTTTGTGAGGTACGGCTGGAGGTGGAGCTGGAGAGTAGCAGCCTTCGTCACATTATTCAAGTAAGCAATGACTACATGACTATTCAGTATGGGACTCTTTCCTATGTGGCCACTATGTTAGTTTGTTCTCCTGTGCTGATTCTCTCGCTCTCTCTGTGTGGTGTGTGTTGTGTCAGCACTGTGAGCACAGGCCTGTCTGTGTACAGAGACAAGTATACCCACAGCCACTACGCAGCAGCAGGAGGTGAGTTACTTCAACACCCAAATGGAGAGGATGCCTCAATGTATTATACACACTCACACTTATTCAACTACTTTATTGGAATAATTCAGAAGACATGAGTCTTGTGATTTAGGAAAATGTCATTATGATAATGTTTTAGTATAAATGGGTCCTACTGAAATAATTTATTTGATAAGAAAACGCTGATTATGATTATACTTTTCCTACAGTGCCTTCAGAAAGTATTACATTTTACACACAATACCCCATAATGATTTTTTTTTTTTTTTTAATGTTAGCAAAGTTGTTGAAAATGAAAAACAGATATCTCATTTACATAAGTATTCACACCCCTTTGCTATGACACTCCAAATTGAGCTCAGGTGCATCCAATTTCCTTTGATCGTCCTTGAGATGTCGCTACATCTTGATTGGAGTCCACCTGTGGCCAATTCAATTGTTTGGATATGATTTAGAAAGAAACACACCTGTCTATATAAAGTCATACAGTTGACAGTGCATGTCAGAGCAGGAACTATACCATGAAGTCCAAAGAACTGGCCGTAGATCTCCAAGATAGAATTGTTATGAGGCATATATCTGGGGAAGGGTATAAAACTATTTCTAGAGTGTTGAACGTTTCCAAGAGCACAGTGGTATCCATCATTGGGAAATTGAAAAAATATGGAACTACCGTCCGAGCAACCGGGCAAGAAGAACCTTGGTCAGGGAGGTGACCAAAAACCCAATGACAGAACTACAGAGTTCCTTGGCTGAGTTGGGTGAACCTGCCAGAAGGACAACAGTCTTTACAGCACTTCACCCATCTGGGCTTTGTGGGACAGTGGCCAGACAGAAGCCACTCCTGAGAAAAAGCACGACAGCACTCCTGGAGTTTGCAAAAAGGCGCGTGAACGACTCTGAGCATAAAGCAAAAGATTATGTGGTCTGAACTCTTTGGCCTGAATGCAAAACGCTATGTCTGGAGAAAACCAGGCACAGCTCATCACCCATCTAACACCATCCCTACCGTGAAGCATGGTGGTGGCAGCATCATGCTATGGGGATGCTTTTCAGCGGCAGGGACTGGTAAGGATAGAGGGAACAATGAATGGAGACAAATACAGGCAAATTCTTAATGACAACCTGCTTCAGTGCAAATGACCTTAGACTGGGGCAAAGATTTACGTTCCAACAGGACAATGACCCCAAGCATACAGCCAACGCAACCCTGGAATGGCTTCAGAACAAGACTGTAAAAGTCCTTGAGTGGCCCAGACTTGAATCCCATTGAAAATATGTGGAAATACACTGCCGCTCCCCATCTAACTTAACAGAGCTTGAGAAAATCCTCAAATCCAGATGTGCAAAGCTGATACAGACATAGCCAAGATGACTCTAAGCTGTAATCGCCACCAAAGGTGCTTCTACAAAGGATTGACTCAGGGGTGTGAATACTTATGTAAATGAGACATTTCTGTATTTCATTTTCAATAAATTTGCTAATTTCTAAAAACGTGTTTTCACTTTGTCATTATGGGGCATTGTGTGTAGATGGTTTAGAGTTTTTTTTTAATGTTTGAATTCAGGCTGTAACACAACAAAATGTGGAATAAGTCAAGGGGTATGAATACTTTCTGAAGGCACTGTAAGTGTGATATTGTAAATATGTGAGTATGACATTCCTGCCTGTGTGGGTTTGAGCAGCTGTGACAGGAGGCCTATTCAGGCTGAACCTGGGTCTCGGGGGACTGGTGGCAGGCACGGCCATAGGAGCAACCATGGGGTGAGATATGAGGGTTTTCAGTGGAAAAATAACGGGCTGGTTTTAACTGTGGAGAATAGTGTTAACTGTGGAGAAACGGTTTGGGGGAGCCAGATAGTCCGGGCTTGCCCTGCAGTTTGGTAAAAAATGAACTATGAAGCCTGAAGGATGTGAGAAGCAAGTCTCTGGCTGCCAGCTGCACACCCTCCCTGTAACCCCTCTGCTTCCCAGCTGCACCCTTGCCTCCTCTCCCCCTCCCCAACCCTCCAGCCCCCCTCCCTCCCCCTAGCCATGCGCTGGGTGCCAGAGGGACTCATGTGCGCTGCAGAGGGCTGTGTTCTGGGCGGTAGAGCAGGGAGGGAGGCCAAGGCAGCAGCTGCCCCTCTATTTTTACCACCCCATTGTTACGCCAGCGTTTCATCTCCATCCATCTCCCTCTTCCTCTGCTGCACTAGTCTCTTCCCTCCTCTCCTCTTGTCTCCTCCCTCCTTTTCCTCTCCTGCCTCTCTTCCACCCTGCCATGTCTGTCACATTCTTTGATTTGTATGTATATCTAATGTGTCAGTGAAGGTTTTAGTGTAGTAATGGACTGGGTGTATGTGATCCAACATCCAAGCCATGTTGCTGTGTCTCCAGAGCGAAGCAGAGCTCTGTCCATGTCTGCCTCAGTGCCCAGCCACCTGGACCGTGTGTTTGATGTGTGCAAACAGCCCCAGGAGCACCCACAGTCTCAGCCAGGTGCGGGGGGGGGGTGAAAGCAGGCAGCTAATCAGATAACACATCATGCTCCAAATGTCTGCCCCTACCTCCTTCATAGTTCTCTCCTGACACATGGATGAGGTGATGGGGGCGGGGCGGCTTACTAAGTGAGTGACAGCCACCACAGCTCTTCATGCTAAACTGAGTTTAGGGGGGTTGGAATGAGAGCTGTAGTCGATAAAGGGAACCTGGATAGATTAAACCCTGATTGATACTCATGAGTGAAACAATTAAATGCTCAGAGAGGCAGCAACATGGCGTCCAGCTCTGAAGTTGGCCAAACTCTCTGTATTGTTTAACAGTCAGAGGATTACTGAGAGTGACAGCCACAGTGACAGAATTTCATGTGACTCAGAACGTTTGAATGAAGGTGATGTCAGCTCGGCTCATGTCATCTCTTTTCAGGGTGCCGGCTGGAGCTCTGATCATCGCCATGCAGGGATTGGCGGGAGAAACGGTCCGGGAGAGGAGGAGGAGGGAGCGCAGAGAGCTGTATGAACTAAAACTGGCAGAATGGTACATTCCATGGGCATCAAAACACAAACACACACACTTTATTACTCCCAAGTATTCACTCACTTTTTCCTATGCCTTCAAGGAGTGCCCGTTTGCAGTTGACGGATGACCTGATTGGTGATTTGAACAGCGGTGGGCGGACCCAGGATGTAGACAAGGACGTACAGAAGATCCAGGAGCTGCTCAGTTTACCACGGAACGAGGGCGTGGCCCAGGACTCTGACAGCCAATGACAGCAGCTGAAAATACTCTAACTGATACCAATCATAGCTGTCCTCACAGACGGACAATGGTGGGTGGGACTTTCCTCACCCCTGAGGACATACTGGTTTCTTTTGATGTTGACTACTCTATTCTGTTTACTTCTGTTGAATGGAAAAGAGGACCTAGTTATTCGCTCAACAAATATGTATTTATGCTGAATTATGATTTATACTGTAAATGTAATTGCTTTGTCTGGATCTTTTAAATGATTTCCAACGTATATATTTAATATAAAACGGCAATAATGACACAGTATCTTCAAGTCACTGCATTACAGTCATGACTGTGTGTGCAAAGGACATGAGGCTGAGAGCCAGTGGGACTGAAGTTGTGGTCCCATTATTCAGAAGAACTCTGAGGAAAAGCGCTACATTTTAGTCATTTAGAAGAGGCTTTTATCCAGAGCAACTTACAGGAGCAATTAGGGTTATGTCTTGCTCAAGGGCACATCGACAGATTTTTCACTTAGTCAGCTCGGGATTCAAACCAGCGACCTTTCGGTTACTGTCCCAATGCTCTTAACCACTAAGCTACCTGCTGCCCAGTGTGTAGGTTAAGACACAATCACATTACCATTATGTTCAGATAAATTATCAAGCAACTGACCGCTGGGCAATTCCACGGTAATGATACTGAGACTCAAATGTTTCACTTCAAAATGTATGCCAAACAACAACCAATGATTGCAAAGTTAAACAAACCATCAAGGACGACTTTTAAAAATTTCCATCTAACATTTTACAAAAACACATTTACTTGAACACTGCAAAGTTTGGTGACAGAAGGACAGTTTGTGCCAAACTTTGCATCTGCACTGTTCAAGTAAATGCATTTTTGTTCAATTTAAAACATTTAAAAGTGAAAAATCTGAGTCTCAGCATCATTCTGTTACCATGGAATTGCCCTGCTTTATTCTTTCTTAATCACAGTGGGGCATGTGTCTAGAAACATAATACAAATTGATGTTGGCCCCTAGGCTTGTCAGCAGCAACTGGGTCAGAAATAGCCTCTGCCCCTGCTGTAAACCAGATCTGGCACAGCAACAGCTGGGGCTCGGGACATCTAGCCAGGAGATTGGAGAGAGAGACAAGTCGTTAGTTACCACAGCTAACATTTTAACATTCTGATTCTACTTTAAAGGTTTGGTCAGCGAAGATCGGTTACAGCTAAGTGCTTTAGTGTGTCATTAAGTTATGGTTGTGTAATTAAATTCGGCAATCATCTGAATGAATTACATTTAATGTCCTATCAGAGGGAGTCTCCTCAGATCAACAAGTGACGTAAGCATTATTATGCAAATTACGCTACTGCCAGAGAGTTTGTTTTGTTCAAATGCAATGCAATAGTGTCTCCTTTTGTTCCAGGGAGCTATTACTAAAGAAATGCATTCCTCTTCACCTCGCATCTGGAGGCTAGCCTACAGTCCAATTGAAATAATTGGATTGGAATGGCGTTAGGAATGTATGGAATTTATTTTCAGGGCACTAGGCAGCACATTTTAGACAAAATTATGACAGGCTATTAAAACATATTTTACCAAAACATTTCATGCTGCTGTACATTGCATAGATAGTATAACATCTCTACGCCTACAATGAGTATGTAAAGCTGTCAAAGCTAATGGGATCTCCGTATAGGGCAGGCCCACTGCACCCGAAATAACATACCGGTAGATTAGAAAGGTAGGCATCTATAGAAAGCAACCTCAGAGGTTACGTGAGAAAATGCAAATGAAAACCGACCATTTGTGCAGTTGAAAACCTCTCACCACTGTGTCAGTTCCTTGTCTCACTGCATCAGTGTTGACATTGCCATGTGCCGCAACATAACTTTGGTTTACGGATGTAACCTTGGTTCTCTGAGTAGAGTAACGTGTCGCCAAGCGACTTATGGGAACTCCTTCCCCTTCACGCGATGTGATTGATATGCTTAATATCAAAGATGTTTACATGACATTATAAAAGGCGGTGTGGCGTGACTTACTGTTTATTACTTCACTCGAACCCCACTGAGGTGGAGGAACGACATGAAAGCTTGGCGACCCGTTACTCTACTCAGAGAAGCAAGGTTACATCCGTAACCCAACGTTCTCGTTTGTTTTCGCAACATGTCACCAAACGACCTATGGGAGAGGCTGTACCAAATGCTGTGGTAGCCATGCTGGTTAAGTGTGCCTTAAATTCTAAATAAATCACAGACAGTGTCACCAGCAAAGCACCCCCACACCATAACACCTCCTCCTCCATGCTTTACTGTGGAAACTACATTTACATTTTTAGTCATTTAGCAGACGCTCTTATCCTATATGCAGAGATAATCCGTTCACCTACTCTGCGTCTCACAAAGACACGGTGGTTGGAACCAAAAATCTCAAATTTGGACTCCAGACCAAAGGACACATTTCCACCAGTCTAATTGCTCGTGTTTCTTGGCCCAAGCAGGTCTCTTCTTATTATTGGTTTTTTGGTTACTACATGATTCCATTTGTTATTTCATAGTTTTGATGTCTTCACTATTATTCTACAATGTAAAACATTGTAAAAATAAATTAAAACCCTTGGATGAGTAGGTGTGTCCAAACCTTTGACTGGTAGTGTATATGCTTGGCATGGCTAGAGTCTTTGAACAACGTGATGGATGTCTCAGTCTATGAAGAACTGAATTTATCAAACTTGGATGAGAACGCCATGGCAGTAGGTGTATGCTCCACACTGAGGTTCCTGCTTGCCCTCTCAAAGATTTCAGACAAGGATATTTTCTGGTCGACTGACTGGCCGATGCTAGAGCTGTGGTACATAGCATAATCATTAGAGTGCACATAGTCTCTGTCATAATAGTAGGAGGCTCTTGTGGACAGTGTCACCCGATTCAACAACCACGCTCCATTCAGAAGTAGGGGTTGGGTTTGGTACCGGTGGCGGAAGCCTGGCCATGATGTGCTCGAGGGCAGACGCAATGGTTGCAATACGACTGTCCAGTGACTTCATCTCCTTGGCATCTCAGTGCGTTGAGATGTGTGCCCAGGCGAGGATGGGCGATGGCATTTATTGGGCGGTGGATCATGAGAGGAGTGAGACCCGTCATTAGACTAGGTGAAAAATCTGTCGATGTGCCCTTAAGCAAGGCACTTAACCCTAATTGCTCCTGTAAGTCGCTCTGGATAAGAGCGTCTGCTAATTGACTAAAAATGTAAAAAATGTAAAATGTAGACCTGGAGCATTTGGAATGATCATTGATCTGTGTGGCAGACTCATCTGATGGGAATCCAGAGGCTCCGTATGCAAAGCGCGCAAGTCGAGATTTCAATGCTCTCGTTTTGAATTTCAGACAGTGACTGTAAACATCGTTGATATTTAGCATTTCAATCACATTGAGGAAGGAGTTCCCATAGGTTGTTTGGCGACCCATTACAAAAACGAGAAGAGAACTGCCTGTACGGAAGTAATTCATTGTAGTCATTACGATCTGTAGAGTTGTTATTTTCTCAAGTTTTCTTGTGACATTCCTGGATTACTCATTACATGAATAAAGTCTGAATTAATCAACAAATACAATAGTCAGTTGAAAAAAGGTTAAGGGTAAAAGACTGTACATACTGTATCTGGCTGTTGGCAAAATCACTACATATCCCATCGAGCCAAGCGGGGAGAAGGTGCCCGTTGTCACAGTTCCGAAACCAGTCAAACGCCCAGCTAACCCTACGCCAATGGTGCCGGTGGATGTCAAAATTGAACTTGGATCCGCGTTAAGTAGCAATGATATCCTTCGCCACCGTCGTCTTACGACATATCTCCAACCAGTCATGACTTCAATAAAACAATACATCATTTAAGTTGCTTTCCAGCGAATTTCTTAGTTACATGTTTGTATAACTAGCAAAGGCGTTTTGAAGTTGAGGGTGCAGTATTTATGACGTTTGGCAATGAGGACGAAAACTAGCATAGTTCAGCTAGCCAGCTAGTTTAGCCCAGTAGCGGTGCGTAAGTAAAATCAGTGGGGAAGCCAATCCAGCGAAAAAATGCCATATTAACCTATATGTTGTGATAATTGCGTTGTTTGCTCTATAACCTGTTAGTTCATATGCCTTGCCACCGTGATATATAGGCCTAAGGCCGAGACAATAAGACAGTGGCAGAAATCAATTCAACCACACCTTTGTTTCATCACAAAAGAGAGCAACATCTGTCCCGTGAAGTCCACAAACCATATTGCATGTAACAAACAGTTATATCAGTAGAGGATGCAGAGGGGAAGACGGCTCATAATAATGGCTGGAACAGAGACAATGGAATGGCATCAAACCATGTGTTTGATGTTTTTGATACCATTCCACTATTCCGCTCCAGCCATTACCACAAGCCCGTCATCCACAATTAAGGTGCCACCAACCTACTGTGAGTTGCATGACCTACAACATGGTAAAGCAAGTTAATGTTTCCGACATTTTCGGACTACTAAACAACTATTGATTTAGAACACCGGAGAGTTACTGCAAGTCACAAAGAAAACAGCAGTTGCCTCCACTATTCCAGCATAATTTCAACGTCAACATTTCAGCATCATCAAATCACCTATGCTTAGTCTAATACAGTGACAACTAAAAGATACCAAAAACAATTTAGTACAATCAACGTAAGCTAAATATGATGTGGCAGTCCATAGTACTGATTACTGTGTGTGTGTGGGCGAGTTTAACTATTCTTGTGGGGACCAGAAAAATTAGACCAACTGGGGACATTTTGTTGGTCCCCACAAGGTCAAATGGTATTTCTAGGGTGTTTAGGGTTAAGGTTAGAATTAGTGTTAGGGTTAGAATTAGGTTTAGGTTTAGGAGCTATGGTTAAGGTTTTTGGGTTAAGGTTAGGGTTAGGGTAAGTGTACGGGTTAGGGAAAATAGGATTTTGAATGGGACTGAATTGTGTGTCCCCACAACTTTAGCTGTACAATACTGTGTGTCTCTGTGTGTGTGTGTGTGTGTGTGTGTGTGTGTGTGTGTGTGTGTGTGTGTGTGTGTGTGTGTGTGTGTGTGTGTGTGTGTGCAAGTAGAAAAAACATGTTGACTCACCCTACTTGTAGAGAAATGCCAATGCCATCCTCCTCTCTTTTATGTTGCCGAAACGGTCTATGACTCTGTCATACAGTAGGCCTACACGCTTTTAGTTTTTGTTGTCCTAGGCTACCTGGCTAAAATGCTTGCTCGCTAGCCTAACTTCCTTTCAAGGGCAACGATGCGCCAGGCCAGCTAGTTAACATTAACCTACTAACTCTAGCTACATATTGAACTTCCATCCTCTCAAGCCAGGGGCACAATGTATGAATTTATGGTTGGATCAGAATCACCGTTATAATCATTGGCCAGTCTGGATAATTAATTAAAACCAGTCCAAATCCTTATCTCCATCCATGGCTAATTTAGGAA